TGAGCTGCTTCCTTTCTGGATGCTCAGTGTTCTGCCTTTGTGTTCCGTCTCACCACTCCTGTGTGTGGGGAACAGTTCCTAGTGACCGTGTGCTGTTGACATTGGCATGGCCATGTCAAGAATCATAGCCCCAGACCCACTGGGAAATGGCAAAAGATGGCAGAGCCTTCTTCTAGTCTTTGTTAACAGTGTATATGGATAATGTCCCCAATATCTTTCTTCCTGTGGACATTTATGAACTAAAGACTGCTCCCCTACAGAGACTACTCCTACCAAGTCCAGGCCTTGTAGCTCAATTTCCCTTGTCTACTTCCAGCTTATCTTTGGCACTATTGCTCCACCGCCCATTGAACTCATGCTCTGGGAAGCAAGCCCCGCTCTCACTTGTTTTGAGCTAAACCTGTCTTCTTGATCCAGCAGTAAATCACACACCCTGCCTTCTGTTTATCTATAATTAAGAACCTAGCCTCTGTGTTCAACTGTATGTAATAAACACACTGAGCTTCCAGTGTGCTGAGGTTTCTCCATCAGAGAGCCCAGTCTAGCCCATCCAAGTATCTGTCCACACATCTCTGTGTGCCTGTCTTTGTTTCCATTCCCTCACTGTCCTAGGCAGTCTGACCTTGTAGCTGTGTGGGACGAGGCACCTACCCACATTCTGGGAGTGAGGTCATCAGATGATGTATTTTTTTGTAGCTCACTTCTATCCCTTGGGTTTTTTCTGTCTGTGACTGGGGTCAGGGAAAGCCTCTGAATAAAAGTGCTCAGTTCTCTGAGCAAGAACCTTTCAGCTTAATTGTCAAGACCTAGTGTTCAAGACATTTTGGCCTCGTGAAATCCAACTGGCCAGGCCCCCTCTCTTTTTTCTTCTGGGTTTTCAGACACTTCTTGGTCATTGGGATCAGAATTGATCTGTTTACCATTCTGGGACTTGTCAGTGTTACTTGGGTTTCCAAAAGGTGCTAATATTGGAACAGAAACAGAAGCACAAGGGAAAATCAGAATCGGGATTCATAACAGAGAAAATAGCCTTACTTCATCTCTAGCCCTGTAAATTACAAACAATTTACAGATTGAAGTATCAGTCGGTAAGGGTTCCCAGGGCTTCAAGTCCTCATAATTAACTTGATTAGTGGATCACAATTGAGACATAATGAGAGCAGGTGTACATTTGGGAGCCTTGTATCTGGCTAAAAATATAGACTTGACAAACCACCTGCCACTCCTCTCTTTCTCCTTCCTCCTTCCTCCAGGGAAGTCCTAGACACTGAATAAATTTTAGGAGGATCATATCTTTAGTCAGAAAGTTTTCTACATTGTAGAAATAACAGTGTATAGAATATTATAAAGAGAGTATAAATGAATAAAAATCTTGCCTAGAGTTTTTTTTTGTTGTTGTCGTTTCCTCTGTCTTTTTAAAGGGTATTTTTTTTTTGTATTTGAGGTCATGCTGCTCTGTCCTTTTCTTCTGCACATTATCCTTGGGCGGACCCTTTTGGGGAAAGTATTCAGAGAGCTAATTCAAGCAGAGGAGGTTCTAACCCCAGGTAGAGCACAAAAGCATCATTTAATTCAGCATCCTGCATCACCCAAATTTGGAGCCTAAGACAGCAAGCTCTGAGATGAAACACGACACAGATGTATGAACTATAGCACATCCTCCCAGTCTTTGCTTATGATATAATTACCACTGTTCTTGGCAGTTGACACAGAGGGCATCATGAACTTTATATTTACATTGTTAGTCTTTAAAGCTTTAAAAAAGATGAAAGAATGTAGCTCTCATTTACCAGAGAGCTTCCAGATTGAAAATGCTTCCGTTTCCAGTAGAGTCTTCGGTTTAGTTGTTTTGTTTTGTTTTTAACTCAGAATCACTGAGGGCGAATTTGTTGGGGAGGATAACGAACCCAATAGGCAGCACCAAGGAAAGAAGGATGAACCAAACCCAGGTTTTTAAAAATATGTGGTTCTTGCTTTAAAGTCCTACCTCATCTCTTTCTCCTGGAACAAAGAGCAGAAAGAGGCAGAAATCTGATTTTTATCTGTGTTCTTTAAAAAGCCCCACGTTAAGCAGGATCATGTGCATGCATGCCTGTGTCTGCAGTGAAATCATGTTTTAAAGAGGACTCAGCTGCATTATATTTATAACTGTGTTGCTCCCAGCTTCCAGCTCCCAGCATGTCTCCTGGTGGTTGCTCATGTCTCTATTCTCTGTGTCCTGATTTCTGTTCTAAAGTATGCTGCTTTGAAGAAAGTAGACGTTTGTCCATTCCCTCTCCTCACCAAACCCCATTCTAGTCGTGACTTTCCCGGACTCCTACTCTGGTCCAACGAAGGATCTTGTTCAGACATGTTGGGCTCATTGCAGGAGAGAGTGTGACCTGCTGGGGACCAACCCCTGCCTTTGTATGGATCAACCAGTCTCTACCTAGAGTCCTGCTCTGCTTGGCTGGTATAAATGGACAACGAAATCTTAGTCACATCACGGGCTCATCTGTAAATACTAACCAGACAGCTTCCTTAGAAAAGAAAAAGTGTTACTTTATAAAGTTTATTGAAAGTACTTGAGGAAGGGAGTTAAAATGCAGATTTCCAGGCTCTATATTGATTTTGATTTCATTATTTTTAATTAAGATTTCGGGTGTCCCGTATTTTACTATCCACCACGAATATGATAAAAAATAATGCCATTGTTGCAGCATCCGTCCAGCCCTATCCTTTAGGTTGTGTGTGTTGGATCAGTAGGGGTAGCCTCGTGTTTTCATATTGACCATTTATCACCTTGATAACGATGTGCATTGGGGAGGGGCACATAGTTCAGTTTAGGTGTAGCTTAGGGTCCCACCCCCTCGGGTACATTTGGGATAGACCACTGTATCTCTCTAGTTGTGAAGTTAACATGCAGTATGAGACACTGCAAATAGTTCCGAGGATGAAAGACAGGGCACCAGCAGTCTATGGTTCACTATGACATAGCTCTTCTGCAAGACTCCTGATTCCTGTTGACATACACATAGGGACAGACTCCGAGCACACATTCAAAGTTCACGTCCGTGAGCGTTCACTTTTCAATTCAGCCCACCTCCCATACTTCCCCCTCCGTATAAACTTGCTCATATGTCTAAGTATTGCACAAAATGCTCAGCCAGATATTGTCTATACATACATAGACTTGCAGAAAATAGCATAGCATACAAAACACAAATACATTGCTAGTACAACCCTTTGATGTAGACATGCTTTTTGTAGTGGGAAACATACATGTTGGAGTCAGAAAGACGAGGTCAAATTCTGGCTCTACCATTTACTGGCTACTTGATCATAAAGGTGTTAGTTACAATCTTTATGTCCAAGTCTCCTAATCAGGATTAAATGAGGAATCTTGGAAAACATCCATAACCATGCTTGGCTCTAATAAGAAGCCTACAGATGTTAAGGTCCTCCGTTATTTTTAATTTTCTGGGCACTAAAGGGAATAACTCTTGAATTTCTCTCAGAGGGCTGCTTATTCAGGGTTCTTAATGGCACACATTAGAAATAATCCAGGCCAAACGAAGTAAAAAGACCATTTATGAAAATGTAGTGAGTGTAAGAAAGTGTAGTGAGTCCCATTCTTCCCAGAATGCTGAGGATCTAGATGCAGGAGACAGGTTGGAACCTGGAGAGGCCACCCCAGGACCACAGCTCAGCTCACACCCCAGAGCAGTGTAGCCCCCTGACTTCACCCAGCACTGGCCCTGGTCCCCCAGATGCCTTTGCTACCTCATGGCAAAATCACCCTCCCAGTGTCCCTGCTGGCACTATTTGATCCACTTTGAGAAAACTGAGTTCGAGGTCGCCCTAATGTGCTGGGGGCGGGGCCTAGACTTCCAACTTTGGCGGCTAGGGGGTGACTAGACTTTCTGACTTCTGTATTTGGAATCGTTCAGATATGTGGGCAGAACTCAGAAGGCTCGTTGTGGCAGAAGACAGCCATCCAGGACCTCCTCCTTCTTCCACATGCGTCCTGGCGTACATCGCTGCAGCCTGGCTTACATCCGTTCTTAGGGAGAGGATTTTTGTGTTGCAGGAATTCAAGGGCTGTTTTAGGTTCTTGAGCGCTCTTTCTCCCTTCCTCTAGATAGAATATGGTTGCCTGCTTCTTGACCACCACCAACCCTGAACAGCCCACATCTTGCCCCATCTTTCAAGTGTTAACACAAATGTCTCTTATATAGTGGTCCTCAGCCCCAACCCATGACTAACTTGTCCACCAGAACCTTTCCCTAAGTCTCCCAAGATGACATTGACCCAATTTTTACAATGAATATGCACTATGCCTCTAATAGTCCGGCCTTCTTCGTTTCCTGAATCCAAGATGTGGCTCCTCAAGGACAAAATGGCCGTACTAATACTCATATCCCCTGTAGCCTTTGTTCTTAACACCCAGTGGGGCCTTAATATATATTTGCTGATCCAAGAACGCATTTCTCAACATATCGTGACTCCTTTCCAATAGACAGGAGATATCTCCATTGTAGGCATAACCTATATAAATGTGCTTTGCAATTGGCGAACGTATAGGTATAGGTCATTTTGGTCACTTTTTTTAAACTTATTTTTCTATTTAAAAAGACCTTAAATCATACATGTTTTAGAAAAATGTTGCATAATGGTTTTGTCCTCTGTGAATGCCAATTTGACTGAGGTCTTTTCTCTTTGAACCAGATCCACCAGAGCATAGCAAAAACAACCACATTGCTCTGCCTTCAGGAGTTGCTAGTCTAAGCCTCATGGGAAGTTATGTCAAGTTCTTTCAGCCTCTCTGTGCCTGTCACCTAGTTCAGGTGCAAACTGTCACTGGCATCCGGGGGCATAGATTCCCAGCCTGCGTAGTGGCCTGGGCAGAGCACGGAGGCAGCCCCTGCCACATGGTCCGCCCTCCGGGGTGGACTTCGCTGCTGGGCTCTGACCTCCCGCCCCCACAACCCCAGAGGCGGCACGTGACCGAGAAACTTTGGCGGGCGGCGGCGCGGGCGGTGGCGCGGCGGCCGAGCTCCCCCGCGCGGCGAGCTCTGCTGCGGGGAGGCGCTCGGCCCGCGCCGCGCTGCCTGTGCGTGCGGGAACGGCCCCCGCAGCCCAAGCGGACTCTGGAGCAGGCGGCAGCGCGCGTCTGGCAGGCGGCGGCGTCCAGCGCCCGGGCCCGGGCTGCGCGGCCAGCCCCGAGGGCTGCGGCGCCAGGGACGCGCGCCGCCCGCGCTCCGCCGCCGCCCGCTGCCGCGAGGTCGTCCGGATCCTCGCGTGGTAGCCGCTGCCCACTTTCCCCACTCCGGGTCTGGATGGGAAGTTGGGGAAGATGGACAGGGTCGTGTTGGGGTGGACCGCTGTCTTCTGGTTAACAGGTAATAGTCGTTTGCCACGGCGACGGATAACTTTAAATGGATTCCCACAGTGGTGGTGTTCCACTCCACCCTCATTTTCCTCCTTTTTGACCGTGTTAAAGCTGCTGCTGCAGCTGGTGTGTGTGTGTGTGTGTGTGTGTGTGTGTGTGTGTGTGTGTGTTTGTGGTTGGTGGGGGAGGCAGGGGAGAAGCCGATTGCAAAGGAGCTGGATGGAGGAAGATGCAGGTGTTAGACTCACTAGCGCTATGAGGTTGTTCTTAGGATGTACATTTCCCCTCCAGACAATGGCTCTTCCTCCTTCTTTCCCTGAGTTTGATAAGCTAGGAGTCCTGGGCAGAGTCTGGGGAAAGCTCTGAAGGGGTTGATTCATGAAGAGGGCTCATTTTTCTAGAGGGTGGGGGGTGCAGGGGAGTGTTTCCCCAGCTACTTCCCTAAATAGAGACGGAGGGAGACCCAGGGGCTTTTGTGGCTCTATGGTTACAGGGGAAGGGGTCTGGGAAGATGGAAACAGGCTGTCATGATTGGTCCTGGAACTTAAGACCTGATTAGTCTCACTGGACCCATTTGGAGAAGATACTAGATCAGCTCCCCTTCCCCCAATAAGGTTAATTTCTATGGTTCAGAGACACAGAACTTTGCCGGTGCCTTCGGTGCACCCCTTTCCCCCTTCGTGAACTTTCTTCCCATCTTCTGGTCCTAGCAAAGGCCCTTGTTTGTAACACTTTGCCCAATGTGTCCATTCTGGGTTCAGGAACAAGGTGGTCCTGGGGTGGCCACCTCAGAATGAATCACAGAGCAGCCCTACTGAAGGATAGATGGGGCCAAGTGAGAAGGGTTTGGGTGGCTTGGGGCAGGTCAGAAGTCACCAAAGAGACAGAGTCAAGGAAACAGAACAAGGTGTCAAAAGGTCATTCGGATGGGATGGGGGCAATGGTGGGCAGAAGAGAAAAGAGCAAATAGCAACAAGAAGAAAAAAAGTTTGTGTCCTCTAGGGCATCCACTAGATTGTGGGGTTGGGGGTGGTGGTGGTGGCACAGAAATCAAGACACTAGGAAAATGGGAACCTGCTTAAAACACCCAAAGCAAATCACTGAAACAGGAGAAAATACAGTTAAGGAGGAAGAAAGGCAAATGCCCCTATCTTCTTCAGTTTCAGAATGAAATTGTCAATTGCCTGAGTTCCTTCCCTATTGCAAATGATAGGCCTTGACTCTGTTCTTGCCCCCCAGCTGGGATGAGGTGGGGGGGCACCCTCAGCAGAGTTAGCCTCTTATCTTGGCTGCTCTGAGTTCATCCCTCCCACATTATTCAGATATGAATCATCTAATTCCAGGGTTTGGCTGATCCATGCTTCCCCCTCCTCTGGCCTCCAGTGCTTTCCACTGCCACCCTCACAGATTCCAACTCTTTGGGTTGTCTCTAGGGCTCAGTTGCCTTCTTCAAGAGGGAACTTGGGCCTGCAGCCTGTGTCATCAGGCTTTTCTGAAGTCAGCCAGGCATCTTAGGAGGGGTCCATGACTCAGGGGTGCTTTCCTGGACCCTGCCCCCCTACTGGGTCTGCCCAAGAGAAGTACTCTGGGACTCACAGAGAGTGGGAGAAGAACATATGGTCTCTCTAGATGGCTAACAGTTTCTTATGAAATGGAATCCTATTAGTGGAGGGACCACAGGAACTCTCATTCAGCCTCCCCTGGCTTATAGAAATAGAGGTACAGAGAAGCCATATACGTGTTTGTGGCTGGGGCTAAATGCCAGTCCTCCCGACCCTAGCCAGTTGTATTGGCACCAGCTCCACCTGCTTCGCTGGGTTTCTCTTCCCGTGGGAGACTCTGCTGCTTTATTTTTGTTTGGAGGGAGGTGCTGCATTGTTCCTGCCTTCTGCCATCTGCACCTGGAGAGCTGTGTCTGCCTGGAAACCGGCAACAGGTTACTGAGCAGGGTATCTCTGCTGGCAGATGGCAGGGGTGATCTGCATGTGATGCCATGACTACCTGGGTGATGCCATGACTACCTGCCCCTGACATCCCCTGACGTCCCCCATTTCCTGTTGTCGGAGGTGCTGATGGTCAAGGCGCCTCTCAGCCCCTGCAAAGTGTGAGAAGCTAACAATGGCTGCCAGAGAAGGGGTGGGGGTGGGGAGAGAGAGGGAGAGAGAGGGAGAAAGAGAGAGAGAGAGAGAGAGAGAAAGAGAGAGAGAGAGAGAGAAGTCAAGGCTGAAAGGGATTTAGACTCATTCCTCACACAGGAACCATAGGAGATAAGGTAAGAAATTTTGGTCCCACTCAATCAATGAATTCTCTCTTGAAACATGGTAAAGATGGAGAGAGAGAAAGGGGGAAAAAGCAGATTAAAAATGAGACAGAGAGCCAAGAACAAACCACATTCATTCTCTCCTGCCCTCCCTTCCCCCATGCGCTCTCTCTCTCTCTCTCTCTCTCTCTCCCATTCTACACCCCTGCATTGCTTTTAAGGCAGGCTGAGCAATTTTTAATCAACACTTGGATTCTTTTCCTCAGGCTGTAACAGCTCCTTCCCTCTTTCATTGCTAAAATCCCCTACTTCTTCCTGCTATATATTTAGCCTCATGATTTCTCATTGTCATTGCGGGGCTGCTTCCTGCAGTAGATGGGTTTTGTTGTTGTCGTTTTGAACAAAACAAAATGCTTACCAGCTGCTATTTTAGCAACAGGTGCCATCTAGCAACCAGACTTGAAGAAGGACTCATTCTTTGTTCTCCAGTACGGGTGACGTTCGGTTTGTCTTCTCTGGTGGCAGAGGCTGTGAGAAAGACCGTGATTCTACTCCAAGGGAGTCCACTCCATGAGCTAGCTATAGGTTTTCCTGGAGACTCTTGAGCGTCTATGTGATGGAGACTATATGCTCCCTTGGCGTTTCTGTTGCCACTCTTTCGTCCGCTTAACCCGCTCTGAAGGCGTGTGCTCAATTCCTGTGGTGTCTAAGTGTGATGAGAGGTGCCGAGAATAAAGCTCCCAGAGAGATGGTTCTTACCCTCAGAGAAGGGTCAGTCTGGTTGGTGACTAGGCACTCTCAGGTAATTTGTTAGGATGGTTGGTGGTGCTGTAAGAACTACCTTGGTGCTGTGGCACATGGAATAGGCATATTCAATCCAAATCAGGGGATTCCAGTCCAAACTGGCTGTGAACTGAAGTTCCTGATGGTTGAATTGAGACTTCATTTTTTTCATGCCATGATCTGGCATTGTGCTGGGATTAACAAGATGGGTAAACTATGGTCTCTGCCTTCTAAGAGCTCAGTTTGGAGGCAGAGACACCGGCTGTGTGACGGTGGACAGCAGTATTAGCACTGTGTGAGAGCAATAAGAAACCTTCCCTAAAGTACTGTGAGGTACCTCAGAAAACCCTTCTAACCCAGTCTAGATGAGCCGGGGAGGCACTGAAGAGTGGCTGTCCCCCGGGCCACTTTGCTATCGGATGACCATGGAGGGATAGTGGGTATGGAGACTTAGAGTCTTATTAGTCCTGGGAAAGGAAGACTCCCTTTTTAGAGATTGCTGCTACATCAACTTCCATCACCCTCTTTTACATCCTGTACAAAGACTCTGTTCTTCCCCTTCTATTTTCTGCCATCTTCCTCAGAAATGCCAAACTTTTTTCGTTACTTTGTCATAGCTGTCCCCATGCTCACCATCCCCAAGCCTGGATGCTTCCCACTGGGTTAGAAGAAGACGGCATGAAACTGCTGAGTGGCTGCTTTGCAAAGATTCGAGTATTGGCATTGTTTGTATTATCGTATGCTCCGTGCTACTGTGTGCTAGGAGCTAGGAGCTTTACTCCAAATACTTAATGCTTGGTCTAATGTTAGCCATCTTAGTACTGGAATTTGATGGATGGAAGACTCCCTGACCTGGGACTTGAAGGCTGAGTTCAAAGACTAGCTCTTCCATAAATAGCTGTAGAGCCCTGGGCAGGTTTATATCTTGATCTTATAGTCTGTTAAACTGTGGGGTGATTTCTAGGGTTCCTTTTGGCTATGTGATTCTGAGCCCGAACTTTGTCTCCATTGAATTTTGATGACCTGGATATCAAAACTCAGAGTGACCGGTCTGTTCATTCTTTTATAATTCACCCCGTGAAAGAAACCGAGGTAATCTCAGCTTTCTTTAGTGATTAGAATGAAAAACACCAGCTAGGAAGGGGGATCTGTTGTTGAGATTTTCAGAATAACAAATGGGTTAGCATTAAGTTTTTGGAAGACAAGATTTTGGTCACTGTGGAAACTGGTAGAGTGAGGTGAACACATTAGAGTAGGTGGGCTAAATCCTCCTACAGCCAGCATGGGCCTGGAATATCCCTTCATTTTCCAGGACTCATCTTTTTCCTCCTTTGGCATTTATCCTTCTTTTTCTTTGGTCAGAAATACACAGAAAAGTAATGGGTTATGGGGGTGTCCTTACTTTGTGCTATAATCTATTTCTCTGTGTTGGATAGCTTTCATATATATATATATATATAGCCTCAGTGGTCCTTATGCTCAAGAAGACCAAGGCTCAGAAGAAATAAGGAATGTATCTGTCTATGTGATTTTATTTATTGAAAAATGCATGAGATACAACTTTAGCATAAGTTGGCTGTTTCAAGTGCCAGAATCCAAGGGAATCATTCTATTTTGGTTAAGGTGGCTCAAACTATAACTCTTGACTTAAGTGAATATACATGATGACCATTGTGGCATCTTGGGTATTGAGGCTTAGAGTTTATGGAATTCAGGAAAATAGTAGAGGGGAAAGTGAGAAAGATTGGTTGGTGGTTTTCTCTAAATGAAGTCCTGAGGTGTGGGGGTGGGAGTGAGGAATACTCTGGAGAGGCAGAGGCTGTGTCCCCGGGACAGCAGACACGGCTGAGCATTTGGGACTAGGCATTGGTGCTGTACACTCAGGAGCCGTGCAAGATGTGGCTGTGCTCTAAGCAGGCTTCAAGTTGTGGTGGTTGAGAGAGGTTTTTGGCTCTCTGAAAATGAAA